TGAACTTGGATGGCCTGTGGTTAAAAACCATGTCTTAACCACTAAGCCACCTGTGTCTTCCAAAGTAAATATTTAATTTTAAAATTCAGTTACAGAAAAAGGATGAAACATATGTATTAGCAATTTGTTCAATTCTCCCCAGTAAAAATAGTGCTTTGCATCATCCACTTTGAAGAATTCATTTGGCAGGCCATTTACTTTGTTTGGCTCTTGCCTTAAAAAAAGGAAACCATTGTGAGCTTTCTCTAGTACAAACTGAAAAATTGTAAAAGCACAGGTCTATAAAATTAAAACAAAAGTCATACTTGTGAGTCAAATACTCAGTTTAAAGGATTTATTTCTAGCACTTAAGTTGTCATTCTTTCAGAATAGCTCCTGACAGGTTTTGTTTTTTTTTTAATGATTGAGTTTTGTTTTACTTATGTTTCAACAAAATGTTAAAGAGCAAACTCCGTGCACTTGAACATTGGTTCATTTAACATTTCATGAAAACAAATCCAGGTGTCATGGCTACACTGGGTTGGTTGTTAGACTGCTGCGTGGTTTTATACAGTGTGTTTGTTTTGTGACAAACCAGCAGGATAAAATGAGGCAACAAGTAATTTGTGATTTCAGTCTATTGACTGGTAAGGAAGACCACTCTGGTACAAATGCACTCAGCAATGTTGTCTCTTTTCAGTAGAATTGACTTGGTTTAGATCAAGCCAACAGATGGGAAGAGTTAGTCGTGTGGATTTGTTGTTTTCTCCCCAAGTTGCAAAAATATTCAGCTGATTATGGAATGTCCTCACATCTGTTGGGCATGTGAAGTCTACTCTCCTGATGTCTGCCACAGACATGACCTGCAGATTAATCCAGCAGCTAGCTTCCATGATTTGTTGACACTGGAAAATTAAACAGCCATTTTTTTTCTTTTAAACTCACTCAGTCAGATGATGAACATTGTTCAAAAAACAAATTTGGGAATTGCCAGTTTTAATGCCACGTAACTGCTCTGTGTACATACTGGTTAGTGATGTCGTATCCCAGTTAAGTAGTTGATAAATTATTTTAACCTTTAAGACCCGTGCAGAACATGGGAATGGGCACAGCTAAGATTCTGTGCCATTCATCTGTTTTCCTTCAGTTAGCTTTTCATAATATTTTGAAATGAGCCTTCAATCTAACATGGCCTGATGTAAGCTCTAAATTCAAATCATTCCTCGGATAGCTTTGTATTTGTGTTCTTTGTTTGTATTTTTGAAGGCAGAAACTGTTTTTATTCTAAACCAGTTTCCTGCGTTGAGAGCCAGTAACTATGCTAATTGCTGGAGTACTTTCCAAGAAAATTGGATAGGTCCATGCTGTTGTGAGATTGGTCACAAGGAACTAAACTGAAACGACACACTGAACTGTACACCAGTGACGGTGAGGAGGCGAGCTGAGAGACATTACTAAGTTTTTTTTTTGTGAGGTGATGTAAATAATTTAAATAACCTAAAGAAGCTTGAATGACCTGATCAGTGAGCCTGCCACTGGCAATGACTGTTTCTTGACTGAGATTAATGCACTTTGCTAAACTGTTAGGTTTCATGAACCTCCCAAATATCATGACTCCTCACTGTTTATACTAAAAATACTGATTAGAAAACTAAAAACAGGCATGAAAACTTACTTTCTTTTTCTTCAGAATGATTAAAGCTTAAATTTTCCAGATCAATGTTGAAATGAGCACTTTGTCTATATTTTCCAAGCCCCATGTGCACTCAGCCAGAATAATGGGAACATCTTTTCAAGGAAGGAAATAGTGGAAAAATAAGTGCAGTATAAAGCAATTATATTTTAGACTTTGAATGATGCTTTTAAAACAGGAAGCTTACCAGAGATCTTTGGAACAGTCGAGTCCCAATGTAATAAAAGCATGGATGAGGGTTTTACCAGAAGGTGGCCTCAAGGAGGGGGACAGACAGATCATTTTAAACTTGATCTGACAGGCTGAGTGGGAGCCTCGATGTTTTTGGACGACTAGATTCTTGACTGTGGAGCCTGAAAATTGATGGCAAAATGACAGTCATGAGACGAGGAGAGAAGTGTTGCTCAGAATGTGCGAGTAAAGAATCTGGAGTTATTGGACAATTGGGTATGGTAGTACTTGGAAATTTTTCAGAGATAGGCAAAGGAAAGGCAACGGAGAAGTTTAGGTGGGAGGGGACAGAATCTTGTAAGTGACACATTGAGATATGAGAAAGCATTGCAGATCAGCAAGGACGTGGGCAGTCTTGGTGTGAAATAGGATGCATACTGCAAGGGATGATCTGAAGTACACACAATGTGGAGCATAGGATGCTGGCCTGGAGGGAACTGGAAAGGTTGAGTCCAGAAGTGATAAAGATGTGGATGAAAGGCCTGGGTGCCCTTTTATCTGAAGCTTTCAAAGTTAACATACACAAAGCAAGTCATAAGGAAGGCAAAGTGTTAATTTCTGTTGCAAATTTTTAGAATAAAGAAATCTTAATCCAATTATACAGAGCATTGGTGAGGCCACACCCAGAGCAATAAAATGAAGTTTAGGACTCCTTTACCTCAGGGGAGTGCAATGATAGTTTAGTGGACCGGTTCCTGGGTAACCGCGATGCCCTATGTGGAGAGATTGAGTAGACTTGACAGACATTCTCTGAAGTTTAGAAGAATGGAGAGATGATCTTTTCGAAGCATGTAAAATTCTTACAGGGAGATTGGTAGGGCAAATGCTAAGAAAATGTTTTCCCTGGTTAGAGAATTTAGATCACAGGATCAGAGTCTTAGAAGATGGGATTGGCCATTTAAGACTAAGATGAGAAATTTCTTCACTGAACAGTTTGTGAATCTTTGAAATTTTTTATCCCCAAGAACTGTTCAGTATATTCAAGACCTAAGATTTTTGAAAACTAAGGGAAATAAGAAATACGTGGATAGCAAGCAAGGTTGTGCTGAGGTAGAAGATTAGCTATGATCTTATTTAATGGTGGAGCAGACTGTAAAGGCCAAATTAGCCTCCTTTTGCTTTTATTTCTAGCATTCTACTGTGGTTGGGCTATGGTGTGGCATTGTTTGAGAGGTGGAAGTAGGTCGTCCTAATAACAAGGCTTATGGGATCAGGATAAAGGTACAATATATCTGGAAAGAAACAAGCCGTACCATAATCAACTTAAAATACATCTGTTCAACTTCTACACATGATGAATGCCAGGGTAACGGATATACTTGACAAGAACGGAGGTGAACAAGGTATGAGATTACAACTCATTCTGTAATTTTAGCACTTCCTATTCTTGGTTGTTTTTATGAAGAAACTGACAATGTTTCAAGCAAATTGTCAGTTGACCCTGTGACTGCTCCTTGATCTAATTAGATTCATTCTCCTGTTCTTCACATATAGTCCAACTAATCTTTCTGTTCTCAGTATAGTGATGAGAAGGGAATAAGCCAAGTACAAATCTATAGACTTTTTTCTTCTCTCCAACTCTCAAACGTACATGCACACAGTCCTCATAGTGAAGGGCACTTCCTGAGCTTTGCTATCCCACTGAGTGGGAAGTCTTCAGCTTGAAATTTCTGCTACCCAAATGGCTATGGTACTGAATGAAATATGGTGTGATGTTAGCAGTATTATACTGTCCAGAGCAAAAGGCAAGGAGCAATATTACATACTATATGACAATTCTATAATTATCACGGCATTTCGAACATTCCTTCCTTTTCTTCACAGTTATAGTGAATTGTTCCTTTTCCGTTCAATACTAGCTTCGCAATGTCGAAGCTTTCTTCTCAAAGGATTCTCTTTTATTTATTTGGCAATGACCTCTGTTATTTAATGGACAATAATTTTGAAAATTCCTTGGGTTATATGCGACATAAATTTGAGGGCATGAATTGAGAAAACTAATTATGTCAGGATTTTATGTTACAACAGACGTTACCTGTGCTTCAGGTCGAAATACTCTTGTTAACTGACTTTTTATTTGAGATTTTTGCAGTCCCTCCTAGTATTAGATTAATTTTAACACAAAATATCAGATTGAAGATAAGGTGACATCCAGGGTCTGTGCATACTTGAATTGTTGGGGATTTTCTTTATAAAAGCAACAACCAAGCGTAGAAGTTGCTGAAACTACAGATCAAATTGTAATCTTGGACTTTGTTAATCTTCCTTCCCTTCACATACATCCCTGATACACTGGCATTCATCATGTGTGGTAGAAATAGAACAGATGTATTTTGATTCTAAATCTGTGTTTATCCACCTTCTTTGGGGATCCAAAAGGCAGGATTCTGTTGTACCACACCATAGCCCCTGTCAATGACCACCCAACTGCAGCGTTACCCAGCTTATTTATGTAATCCATCATTGCTTTTACTGTATTCTGGGAGTATAAGATCATAACCCAAATGACTGTCCCTGAAGAATACTGTGAGAAGTGTAAACATGTTCTTGCACTTAAAGTTCATGTTCCTGGGAAACTGCAGTTTCTGAACTCCTTGTAATGTTTACTTGGACTTTGGGAAAACTGGTGCCATTTAACTGAGACCAGACTTTAATGAGGTAACAATTAATGGTTCAATTAGCCAATGGACAGGTATTTCAATCAGTAACCAAACACTGGGATAATGTCAAAGGTTATTTTTAACCTACTTTCAGCATTTTAATTTATGTCTTGTGAGCGGTAAATGTCAAACTAGCTTTTTAAAGAAATCAAGCCAAGCACTCCAGTCCCGGCATTGCTTTTATTATGTTTGTTTGTGAACAGCAATGGTGCAGCACTGCTGACCTGTCACATTCTGTGACTGTGCTAAAATGTTCCTATCGTTCTTCAAAGCAATAAATCTCTAGCTATCCACAAATGAATATAGTGAACGTTATCTGAATTATATTTGAACGTCCCTGAGGAGTCGTATGCCAGAGATGAATAATCAAATATCCAGACTTGGTCCTCAGCTACCAAAGCAAACTTAATTAACAACTTTGTATCTTGACCTCCAAGGCTCCTCGACCAGGGATGTTGGGCCTTCATTAGGACTGAAGAAATCAAGCTCGTTAGAAAGCCTGCAGACAGCAGTTGCTGAAGTAACTTTGAATAGTGACATTCCTTTCCATCGCCCACGACCGCGAATCATCAGAGGGCGGGGTTGCAACGAAAGTTTCCGGGCTGCTATTGACAAGTCGTACGACAAACCCGCAGAAGAAGATGATGATGATGATGAAGGGATGGAAACATGTACGTAATATAATTGAATACAATAATTTATTCCGGTTGCAAACCCATCAGAATGGAATTAATTTCGGAAGTGCTGTGTCTATTGGTACTTAGTTACATGCTCAAACAGATCTTTTAAATAAACACGTTTTCAACTTTAGTGTAGGGTGACAAAGGATTTTAAGGTGAATTTAATTGCTATCTTAATTGTTGTAACATTGTGTAGTGCACACAATTTTATTTATAATGTACACATAAATTGTATTGGTGAAAAGTTACTGAGCCCAGTTTTCATTTGTTAGCTTCCTGTTTCTCACTTAAAAAGTGAGCAGTTGGTAATTGCAAATCTGAGATTTGGGTGAGCAGATATCTAGTTGATGTGTTTTCCAGTCAGGTTTGCAATTGGGTGAGCAGGAAACCTTGTTTTAAATGGGAAATTGCTTAATTATTCATATCTGGGTTAGTTGCAAGCCGTAGTTTTCTCAAGTACAAATGCTTAGGTCAGCTGTGCTCCACTCATTTGTAGCAGGTATCGAACAGTCTAATGCTGACGGAGAGGCAGAAATGTTTATTTGGGAGAAACTTCTTTCCTGCAGAGATTAGTTGGAATGTGAAACTGGCAGGCAGCATGGATCCATTCAAGGTGAAATGGGTAATTAAATAAGGGTGAAAAAAATCGATGGTTATGTTGATATAGTGTGATGAAGTGCAGTGAGAAGAGAGAGGCTCATATGGAACATAAACACCATCGTGCAACAATTGGGCCGAATGGCCTATATTTGGGCTGTAAATAATATGTAATTTGTACAGAGCTTCAAGGAGTAAGATGAAGGAGATAGGAAGAATTGCAGATGCTGGAGTCAGAGATAACACGGTGTGGAGCTGAAGGAACACAGAACGCAGCAACAGAGGAGCAGAAAAGTTGACGTTTCGGGCTGGGACCCTTCTTCAGAAATGGGGAGGGGAAAGGGAGCTGGGAAATAAATAGAGAGAGGAGGGGTCAGGTCAGGGAAGGTAGGTGGGATGGTGATAGGTGAATGCAAGTAGGGAATGGTGGGGATTGGTCAATGGGATGGGTGGGGTGGATAGGTGGAAGAGAAGATGGACAGGTTGTGTCGGGTCACGGAGGCAGGAGGGAGGATGGGGTGGGGTGGGGATAAGTAGGTGGCGTGGTGATAAGTTGGATGCAGGGAGGGGTAGTGGGGATTGAACCCTACCCCCTTCCTGTATCCAACCTATCACCACCCCACCCATCCTCCCTCTCTCCTCCTTGACCCGACACAAGGAGTAAGATGAAGAAGCCTGCAACTTGTCATTGCCATTCAAATGAAGCCAGAGCTGAAAGTGGTTCCAGATTCCCATAGTTGGCTTTGAGTATGGAATGTGAAAGGTCTGCCCATTCCTTAATTAGTTCAAGCAAGTATCAAACATTATCCTCACTGTCTCTGCTTTGTTGCGTTTTAGCTCTATACTAAGCCCTGTCTTCTTACAAAAATTGTTTTCATTGTTGTTTTATTGAGGACCATTCTTCCTTTCACTTAGCAATTTAAATGTGCACGTGGAAGCTTCTTTCAAGAGCCATTTGCAGAATGGTTAGTTCCAAATGTTTTTGATGAAAATGGATGTGATTAAGCAAATCAATAATGTTTGTATCAAATTAATAAATGTATTCCCTTCACTGAAGGCAGAATTTGGTGATAGTAATCGTAATGCCTAGAGTGCACCTTGATGTCACTTTATACCCTAGTAGTGAAGAACCTCTACCTCTGGATTGTGGCTAGTTGGAAATGCTTCTGAAAGTGGAGCAAGATTGTATTACATGGTTAGTCATTATGTTGAGAGAAGGGCACTGTTATAGTTTTATGCTGATATTGTCAGTTTTAACTTGGTTTCTAGCCAACCGTAAATGTAGGATGTCACACAATGTAATTTCACCCTTGCAGTGTGTTCTAGGTGTCTAACAAGTATAAACAGCAAGGTAGGCTAAGAACTTTGATGGCTTGGACACACAAAGTATAATTTCCTCTTTCAATTCTCAAGTGTGGATTAAATGCTTTCTATGGATAAAACCACCTGTCAGTTTTGCAAAATGGATTTTGCTTTCAAGACTTGCTGTGCTGCAATTTCTGAGTAGGTAGCAATGAAGTTGCCTAAATCTTTCAGTTATTTCCTTTGGAAAATTCTTCTCTGACTTGAATTTTGTCACCCAGCTAAATTTAATGCAACAAAATAAATCCTGTAAGTTAAATGCTAAAATAGAATTTCTTGTGGTTGGTTTTCATTTGGAAAACGTTGATATTTAACAGGGTTTGAGGCGAAAAGGCATGTGTTTCAGTAAGCAGATTTTGCGCTCTTAATTACATGCCAAGCTTTCACAAGATGATACATCTAACTAGTAATTTGGAGAACTGGGGCCTCCAAAAGTCCAATTCATTGATTATAAAAAATGTTTACACCATGTGTTAAAACACAAAGTCTGAATTAAAGAAGGAAGAACCAACAAAATTTAACTCTTAACGAACACCAGTTTATTTCTTAATCTAGTCACCAGTTTGAGTACATATCATGCTACTATTCTGTTTGAGAATCAGTGCTTTATTCCTTATGCAGCAGTGACAACAGTTGTAGTTATCAGCAAAATTATTGAATCTAAGTAAGAGAATTGTTTGCCATTGTACATATCGAGAGTCCCAGGAGAATTAAGATTACAATTTCTCATTTGTTACTTGAGAGCAAATCATTAAGATCGAGAAACATTAGTGGGATTTTGAATCATTAGGTTCTCATTTTGTATGTTCCAAAATGAGTATTAGCTGAAGTTTAAACATCATTGTCACCATTTTATACTGTTTATAGCCTATGGTATGAGGGGCATGCATTTATTTTGGTATTCATATGAACCTCATAAGAATGACTTGTACTAAAGGGGGGAATAATTCAGTTGTCGTGAACAATAATATGCTGCTTATACATGAATTTCACATAACATGGAATACATTAATGTTTAAATTACCACAGGTTTTATTCTTACACCAGCAAAGAAGTCGGTATCAGTTTGATAATGCCCCGAGAAATGGTACAGCTCATGTCGATAATTAGGCTTTTTTATATCCATTTGATTTATTCCACTCGAAGATGTTCCTTTGACATTGTGCTCTGCTGTGCTTCAGCACTATTACAATTACATTGGCATTGCTTCAGTGTGCCTTTGATAGATTTGCCAGCTCTTTACAATTTTCCCATTTTTAAATTTCAGATTCAGTCTTGCAAGTTCCAAAAAAATTGGAATTTTTTTAAAGTTGGTTCCTCCTCTTTAGACAACTAATTTCAGTTTCTTTCAATGTTTAAGTGCCTACAATCAGTAAAATAGTGGTGGCTTGAATTGCTTGCATTATAACTCCCTCCAAATAAGTCAAAGGTTTGTGTGAACTTTTGAAATGAAACCCAGAGTCATACTGGATGAAGTGGCTTGAAATGTGATCTTGACTTGGTGCTTGAATTTCTTTGTAAGCTAACAACATGCAAGCTTTATAACCTTACTGTGTTATTTCTTAGAAAAGAAAAGGCACATTGCACTTCACAAAATGGACAGCTGAAAAGTTTGCTCAAGAAATGTGTTTGTGTGAGGTTTTTAAAAGGGGAAAAAGAGTTTAAGGAAAAGGACTTGAAGGAGAGAATTCCATAGATTTTGACAAGGGTGGCTGAAGGCTTGTATTTTTAATAGCACAGTGAGGAGATGCAGAAGGTGACTTCTGATGACCTCATATGTAGAATGGGTGAAGACAGAGGGCTGGGAAAAGGAAACACAGTGGGTTGAGATAGTTGACGGATTTAAGGATGAGGACACAGATTTTACGTTTATAAATGGGCATCCAGTGCAGGTTTGTGAGACTTGACTGATGGATGAGTGGGGCTTGGGTGAAATATTTGTAGCAGAACTATGGACAGATTGGAGATTGTGGTCAACGGGTGGCCAGGAGGGAAAGTGTTAAAGTAGTTCGGATGACCAGAAAAGGTACAATGAATGAATGAATCCCTGACTAACAGTTCAACATTTAAGAATATGGAAGTAAAGTGGTTCGTCCGATTCAGTTTGTTCTTATCAGTCACGTCATTTTCAGAACACAGTCTAACTTTCTTTAAATCCTACCCAAACATAATTCTGTCTGCCTCTTGGTAAATCTGAAATTGATCTCATTCCCTTTTGAATGCTTCAGTGAATTGGAATTTACTGTTTCTGATAGCAGTCAATTCCAGCATTTCATGACTGAGCATGTTGAAGTGATTTTTTAAAAATATGTACCATATTTACCTGGTAACTTTCTCATTTTATGTAGCAACCATAATTGCTCATAGGGGTATAACAGCATAACACCTTAAAAAAAAAAGAGTTCTTTAATATCAGTCATTTTCAAGACTGTGATTGTGTCCCTCCCTTGAATGCAAGGAATCCTCCAATTTTTGCCACACACATATCTCTGATTTTTATCACTTTACCATTGCGGCTTTGCCTTCACTGACCAAGGCCTTAAACTCCAGAATTTGCTTTCCAAAGCCAGTCCAACTTATTTTAAGATGCTCCTTACCTCTTTGATCAAGGTTTTGACCAGCTGTTTAACTGTAACTTTGGTCCAAATTTCTGCACACTGTTTTTATGAAACACTTTGGAAATTTTGACTGTGTTAAATGCATATTTTAAAGACAGGTTGTTGTGGAAGAGTCATTTACCTTGGACTTGCCTGACAATGAAAAGCATACAAGGCTTTTGACTACGTTGTTGCCCTTTCCTAGATGGTGTGAATTTCGCGCTGCTAACTGGGTCATGACATTAACCTAACGAATTCAGACTGTTTCAGGTTGGAAAGAATCCACGAAAGTGGATTGTTCTGGCAGTTGGCTTTAGCATCTTGAGAAATTTATTTTCAGGTAGCAATTGATTGGGATCCAACTGTGAATTGGGATCCACTGCCATAAGCACAGGCTTTAATTTAATATCAGAACAACTCCACAGAGACTTTTCCCTGGCATTCATGTTCACTTAAGTAAAGTGGTGAAATAATGTGATAATTCTCCAACTAATATTCACACCTAGAAAGTCACAGTAAGGATGTACCCCAGACCATGAGTAAATTTGCAACTTTAATGGTAGAGAAAGAAAAAAATCTTGCATTTTTATCTAATCTAGCAAAGCAAGATCCAACAAGCAGTGAGTGTTTCATGGTGGTGTTTGAAGGGTGTGTGTTGGCCACATCTCACAGAGAACTTCCGATTCCTGTTCATTTCGCGCTTTGGTACCTATCTTTTGACCTCCCCACCCCTGACCGACTGGTCCTCAGTTTAATGTCGAATCTGACAATCAGCTGCACCTCAGTACTGCACTTGTGTGGGATTTGAACTCAGCCTTCTGACACAAGAGGTGAAAGTACCATCAACGCAGCTGTTCCTGGAGATGGGAAAACAGTCGTCCAACAATGAATTTGGATGCAGTGAATGATAGCAAAATTGCCCACCTTGGGTTATTATTCACTGGCACCCTCCAGCACATTGCATCTTGCAGTAAGCCCCAAAATTGGGTACGACTGGGTGTGAGGTAAAAAATAGTGTTAAAAACTGGTGGCAGAAAGAAAGCAATGGCATCTCAAACAACAGATCCTAAAAACGTCTAATATTGTTAATGCAATTTAAGTGATGTTACTCATCAATACCTATAATTTGCAAATTGAATGTGATGCCAGGCTGGACATCTAAATTGTTATTTCCAGTGCCAAGGGATGATTTCTGAAGAGACAGTTCTCCGTGATTGTAACTTCAGACTTCTTCCAAATTTGCTGTCCAGCTGGAATTGTCGCTTTTTGTGTAAATTTGTTCAGATTTTCAGTTTAAGCATTCCATGCCAGTAATAAACTTTTGTTTCTAACTCACAGTGGAAGAAGATACCGAGGAGAGTTCCAGATCAGGCAGAGAGTCTGTATCAACAGCCAGTGATCAGCCATCGCTGGCTGGTGGACATCTGACGGGGACGATGGAGAAACAGGTCAATGGCTCCAGAAGCAAGGAGGACAGAAAGAAAGAGAAGACTGGGAAAGAGAGAGAAAAGAAGAAAGACAAAGAGAAGGATAAAGAAAAAGACAAAGACAAGACTAAAGCCAAGAAAGGGATGTTGAAGGGTCTCGGCGACATGTTCAGGTAAATGCACTTTTTTTAATAGTTACTAATATGGCAATGTGAATCAATGCTTTTACAGGAAGCATTTATCCCTAATTGATATGTTTAATGTGGATATTAAGGAACGAAAGAAATTATGAGCGTTTCACGCCATACAAAGTGTATAGAAATACTGATGCAAGTACAATTGATCACAGCTGCTACGGCATCACTTTGTGTTAGTGTTAGACTATGGTAGTCATTTTTCAGGAGGGAGATGCTGATTAAGTAATGTTTTAAATTGTTGGCCAATTAACAGTCTATGACCAGCTTTGTCTAATGACCACTGCAAATGAGCCTTGCCTGAATTTCGCTCGTGATTTTACGAGCATAAAAGTGGAAGTAGACCACTCAGCCCTTGTGCCTGCTCTGCCATTCATTAAGATCATGGCTGACCTGTGTCTGTTTTGGTTTCTGTATTCTTATCCACCCCCCAATAACCGTTGAATCTCTAGCCAAGTATGACACTTATCTAATTCTGCTTTAAAAATGTTTAATGACACGACCCTTGCTGGCTTCTGAAGCGGATTTTCTGAAATTTATGCTGCCTGACTGACTTGTATTTCTCTTCCTCTATTGAGATAAATTTGTAAGTGTATTCATGTTACTATACATCTACGAGGCAAGAAATTAGAAATGTAACCAATGTTACATTCAAAATCACTGCAACGTATTTACATAATCTGTAAACAGCCCTGCAATGAACAAAACAGGAACAAAACATTCTCGAATGTTAGTCTGGAAATAGTTTTATTTTTCTGGTTTAGATTATGATTGCAATTTGTTGGAAATGGCAAGTGGATTTAGATTAATTCTCAGAGATTCGTCAGGGCAGCATTGCATACATGTGATAAGTCCCAGTGCTTCATAAGATTTAAATTTTTCTGATGTAAAATTTCTGGATGACTAACTTCTGTTTACCAGAGGAGAATTCTTGCTTGTGGTTTGTCATTTATTTAAACAGGTATAAGCAATGCACCACACGAGACAGGGATCATGTTAAAACTACACAATTAATGATCTTTGTTGATTCATATGGAAAATGATTTCAGCTTTTCACTGCCTTTGCAAAATATTTTTACTCATCTTTTGGACTGTAGATATTCCAACAGCATGTCTGTGATCTAAATAATTATGCTTTGAAGTGCTTTATTTAGGCAAGCAGTGACTTTTTTAAAAAAATATGTAATTTCTCAAGATGGCTCCAAATGATAGAATTGCTGTAACTGATACTTTCGATTTAGAGCCTGTGTTTTGCCCATGGACTTTTTATAACGATTGAAACTGACAGCTTTTTTATGTGTACCTACATAATGTGCTGAAGTAAGTCTTCATTCCTCAATTAAAATTGCAGGTTTTTGTAGTCGGATCTTCATTAAGTCATGGTATAAGTAGTGAAATCCCAGTAGAGGAAGCATGTTACAGTGCTCCCACTTTAGCTCGGAATCATTATTGAGAGCCTCCCAGATGGATTTGCTGGAAGACATGAAGGTATAAACTTTAGAAATGATTATGCTGTTATTTTGCCATTATGATGAATTTTCAGGAAGCCATGGAATGAAGCAAACTCAGGGGGATTGAAATTAATTGCAACCAAAAAGAAAAGCTGTATTCGGCATTTTAAAAACATTGCCAGGACACCTGTACTTTCTCCATTATTTTCAGAAGACAAGTGATTGAAGTTCTCAAGTGAGATGCTGTGAGCACATTAAAGCTTTTATGACCTAATCTCTTCAATGGCCACGGGCAGTGATCAATTGTCACGATGTACGTATTGGCAAAAACTAGCTACAATCAGTTTGAACTAAGAATTGGGATCAAGGCTAGATTTTAATCTTTTAACTTAATCTGGAAAAACATCAGATTTTGTTTGTTCCTTCACTTGTCATATTTTTCTCCATTTGCAATTTTGTGAAAGCCTTATGACCTTTCATACTGTCCCACCCCGAAAATATCATCAACACAGTGTTTGTAGGTGGCTTTGATCCAATAAGGGGAGGCTGTTTTGAAAGAGAATCGATTGACTGACTTCACAGAATGGCATCAGTACACACCCTATGTCTCTGACTCTTGCCTGGGGTAGGATTTCCAGAAAGAGCTGCAATAAACCACCAATGGCATTTAAAGTGGAATGAAATATTCAGCTTTCTTTTTCCATTTAGTCGTCTTGGGGGCTCAGTTGTAAAGAAAGCCCTGGATTGTTATGTTTTGCACGCGAGAGAAGAGTCGTATTGTTTTGTCACTAAGGCGTCTGTAACCTGGTCCTACCCAAGGACAGCTATTCCTGGTGAGATTCTACTGTGCCTAGCTACATTAGAGCATTCTTGTGAAGTATTTATTATGGATGCATGGGAAGTTTGATGCACACTGAGGGAGCACAGACTGTTCACTGTCTGTAGCCATACAGGAACTCAAAAGATGCCGCTCACTAGAACTGTTATATTGCTTCACTATTTGTAAAGAGCTCAGAACTAATGAATAAATGAAAATGAACAAATGAAAAAGTACAGCACGGGAACAGGCCCTTTGGCCCTCCAAGCCTGTGCCGACCATCATGCCCTAATTAATCTAAAAACAAACCTGCCATTTTTTGACCTGTATCCCTCTATTCCCTCCCTATTCATGTACTCATCTAGATGCCTCTTAAATGTCTTCAATGTGCCTGTTTCCACCACCTCTTCTGGCAGAGCATTCCAGGCTGCTACCAATCCTTGCGTGAAAAACGTCCCTCGCATATCTCCCTTAAACTTACCCAGCTGACCTTGAACCTGTGTCCCCTTGTAGTTGAAACTTCATCCCTGGGGAAAAGCCTCTGACTATGCCCCCTGTCTGTGCCTGTCATAATTTTGGAGACCTCTATCAGGTCCCCTCTCAGCCGCCGTCTTTCCAGTGAAAACAATCCTAGTCTTTTTAACCTTTCCTCCTAATCGATGCCCTCGAGACCAGGCAACATCCTGGTGAACCTTCTCTGCACACTCTCCAAAGCTTCCACATCCTTCTGGTAATGTGGTGACTGAAACCGTGCACAGTACTCCAAATGCGGCCTAAACAAGGGTTTTATATAGCTGCAACATGTTTTGACAACACTTGTACTCCATGCCCTGGACAATGAAGGCAAGCATGCCATATGCTTTCTGAATCACCTTGGCTACCTGTGTTGCCACTTTGAGGGAAAAATTGATAACAGAACATACATCCAGGATATCTTATCTGCTCCTGCACTGCAGTCAGACACTGCGCAAAAATGTACCGGTTCACAAGTCATGAGGGGGATAGCAAGGAATACTCTTAATGAAGCTCCAATCTTTTTTAGTCCAAAAGATTTGTTTAGGAGCACAAGATGTAGGAGCCAGACCAGGTCATTGGCCCGTTCAAGCTTGTCTTGTCATTTAAGAAGATCTGATTGCAGTCACAATACTAATTTCCTGTTTGCCCCTCATAACACTTGATTCTCTTATCTACTAAATATCTGTCTTGAATAACTTCAAAGACCTACCCTCCACTGGGAAAAGAAGCCCACAGACTAATGACCCACTGAGAGAAAAATATTCTCCTCATCTTCAGTAAGGCCTTCGACAGGGCCCCTACTTCAGGAGGGCCTTCGACAGGGCCTGTCATGGCAGACTGGTACAGAAGGTAAAGTCGCACGGGGTCAGAGGTGAGTTTGCAAGATGGATTATAAAAAAAACTAGCTTGGTCATAGAAGACAGAGTAGCAGTGGAAGGATGCGTTTCTGAATGGAGGGCTGTGACTCGTGGCGTTCCTCAAGGATCAGTGTTGGAACTTTTGCTATTTGTAATATATATATAAACGATTTGGAGGAAAATGTAACTGGTTTGTTTAGTAAGTTTGAAGATGATGCAAAGGTTGGTGGAATTGCAGATAGCGCTGAGGACTGTCAGAGGATACAGCAGGATATAGATTGGTTGGTGACTTGTGCAGGGAGATGGCAGGTGAAGTTTAATCCAGAAAAATGTGAGGTAGTTCATTTCGGAAGGTCTAATCCCGATGGAAAATATACAGTAAATGGCAGAACCCTTAAGTGTACTGATAAGCAGAGGGATCTGGGTGTACAGGTATACAGGTCACTGAAAGTGGCAATGCAGGTGGAGAAGGTAGTCAACAAGGCATATGGCATGCTTGCCTTCATCAGCCAGGGCATTAAGTTTAAAAATTGGCAGGTAGTGTTGCAGCTTTATAAAACGTTAGTTAGGCCGCATTTGAAATATTGTGTTCAGTTCTGGTCGCTACACTACCAGAAGGATGTGGTGGTTTTGGAGAGGGTACAGAAAAGATTTAGCAGGATGTTGCCTGGTATGGAGGGCATTGAGCTATGAGGAGAGGTTGGAAAAACTGGAATGACGGAGGTTGAGGGGTGACCTGATCGAGGTCTACAAGATAATGAAGGGCATGAACAGACTGGTCAGTCAGAAGCTTTTTCCCAGGGTGGAAGAGTCAGTTACCAGGGCCCATGGGTTTAAGGTGCAAGGGGCAAGGTTTAAAGGTGATGTACGAGGCAAGTTTTTTTTTTACAGAGGGTGGTGGGTGCCTGGAACTCGCTGCTGGGAGAGGTAGTGGAAGCAGATACAATAGTGACTTTTAAAGGGCGTCTTGACAAATATATGAATAGAATGGGGATAGAGAGATACGGTCCCAGGAAGCGGAGGGTTTCAGCTGTGATGGGCAGCATGTCGGTACAGGCTTGGAGGGCCGAAGGGCCTGTTGCTGCACTGTAATTTTCTTTGTTCTTTATCTCCATATTAAAAGCAAGACTTAGAGGTATACAGTTATACAGCACAGAAACAGACCGTTTGGTCCCACCCATCCACGCTGACCAGATATCCTAAATTAATCTAGTCCCATTTGCGAGCATTTGGCCCATATCCCTCTAAATCCTTCCTATTCATGTACCCATCCAGATGCCTTTTAAATGTTGTATTGTACCAGCCTCCACCACCACCTCCGGCAACTGATTCCATACA